CATCCCCCGGTGGCCCCGGTAGGTATCAAACGGAGCTCAGTGAAACTGCTCTGGGCCATTCCAAGTTGTCCGAGCTATTGCAGCTGAAGTCGCAGCGAATGTCAGGGGGTATCGGGCTTTTTTTCAGCTGGATGTCACGATGTCGTACCTGGTTTCCCATGTTTTCCCTACTACAGGGAAGATCGCTTAGATAACCTACCAAGTTGTGTTGATAGAATTGAACTCATTGAACTCAAATGGGAGGTGCGTACAAATTGAGCATCGGTCAAATTGGATACCCCTTAAACTTGTATGGTTTGATACTAAAAGTGACCAAAGTTTCTCTGGTTTTGCTGGGCCTTAGTTTTTGAACCAAACCTACTTCATGGGTTGTTAAAAACCTTTCAGATACAAATTTGAAGTGGATGGTTCGCACGATGTACTCAACATGATGGTTTTGTTTTGACTGGGCTGAAATGTTGGTTGCCGCATGAATTTGGATGGCTATGGACATCAGACGAACAGAGAGTTGATAAGATCTGTGACTGTTCGATCAACTTCGGGATCCTTATGCAGTTCTGATGGGTTGTTGGCTGTGTGGGAGTTGGCTGATGAGCCAAACTCGGCAGGCAAGTTGGATGTGCAAAGTTTTTGCCACCCAAGTTTTTCTATCTGTTCCAGCCCGCCAAACTTAGCGGGTAAAAGCTTGAACGACCCACAAACGTGTGAGTGTTGCACCTGCCCATGTGGTGGTGATTGTTGATACTTTTGGTCACCTTTGCTGCCGGATTTTCCGAGGCAAGATCAGCGGTTCTCAGACATTTGCGAGGTGAGATCCCCGGAAACAATCGAATTGAGGCGCTCAACAGATCGAAACAGGTTCAGCTTACCCAAACATGACGACTCCATTTACGGGCTCACTGGAAATCTTTCAAGCGGCTTTCATATATAGCAATTATACACACTCTTAGTCAAGCCTTGAAACTGGACGACGGTTGGCCCGAGAGCGAAAAAGATGTTTTTCAAGCAGCTCTGAGGATGGTAGTCGTAAAAGATAGTCGGTGAATGGCTGGTGAAATTTTATGAGCTATGGAGGGATAAGGTGTGAAAAGTAAGATTGATTAAGAAGAGGATATTTGGTAAAGGGCATCAGATGACACGTGTCTTGCAACCACAGAGGGACATAGATAGAGAGAGAGAGAGAAGGAGACGGAGAGAGAGAAAGAGGGAGAGGGTGAGAGAGAGAGAGAGAGAAAGAGAGAGAGAGAGAGAGAAAGAGGGGGAGAGAGAGAGAGAGAGAAGGAAAGGGAGATAGAAAGAAAACATGGAGAAATATAATGTGAGCAACAAAAGTGCACAGGAGGCTCGGTACCATGATGCTGCGAATGACATGTGTTATCTCATTTTACTATGGTAATTCCTACACACATTGCCGAAAAAGCTCGGTACCATCATTCCTCGGATGTGAAGAAACGCGACGCTCTTATACAGAGACGCTTTTACACACAGAAGCTTTTACACACAGACGCTTTTACACACAGCAGCTTTTACACACAGACGCTTTTACACACAGGCTTTTACACACAGACTCCTTTACACACAGACGCTTTTACACACAGACGCTTTTACACACAGACACTTTTACACACACATTTTACACACAGACACTTTTTTTACACACAGAAGCTTTTACACACAGACGCTTTTACACACACACACACACTTTTACACACACACTTTTACACACAGACGCTTTTACACACAGACGCTTTTACACACAGACACTTTTACACACAGACCTTTACACACACAGACACTTTACACACAGACCCTTTTACACACAGACGCTTTTGCGCACAGACGCTTTTACACACAGACGCTTTTACAGACGCTTTACACACAGACTTTTCCTTTACACACAGACGCTTTTACACACAGAGGCTTTTACACACAGACACTTTTACACACAGACGCTTTTACACACAGACACTTTTACACACAGACCATTTTACACACAGACACTTTTACCCACAGAAGCTTTTAAACACAGAAGCTTTTACACACAGAAGCTTTTACACACAGACTCCTTTACACACAGACGCTTTTACACACAGACACTTTTACACACAGACTCCTTTACATACAGTCGCTTTTACACACAGACACTTTTACACACAGACCATTTTACACACAGACACACAGACCCTTTTACACACAGACGCTTTTGCGCACAGACGCTTTTACACACAGAGGCTTTTACAGACAGACTCCTTTACACACAGACGCTTTTACACACAGAGGCTTTTACACACAGACACTTTTTACACACAGACGCTTTTACACACAGACACTTTTACACACAGACCATTTTACACAGACACTTTTACCCACAGAAGCTTTTAAACACAGAAGCTTTTACACACAGAAGCTTTTACACACAGAAGCTTTTACACACAGACCATTTTACACACAGACACTTTTACACACAGACCATTTTACACACAGAAGCTTTTACACACACAAGCTTTTACACACAGCAGCTTTTCCACACAGACACTTTTACACACAGACGCTTTTACACACAGACCTTTTTGCACACAGACTCTTTTACACACAGACGCTTTTACACACAGACACTTTTACACACAGACCATTTTACACACAGACACAGCTTTTACACACAGACGCTTTTACACACAGACTTTTGCTTTTACACACAGACAGCTTTTACACACAGACCTTTTTGCACACAGCTTTTACACACAGACACTTTTACACACAGACCATTTTACACACACAGACTCCTTTACACACAGACCCTTTTACACACAGACGCTTTTACACACAGACTCCTTTACACACAGACGCTTTTACACACAGACACTTTTACATACAGACCATTTTACACACAGACCATTTTACACACAGACTCTTTTACACAGAAGCTTTTACACACAAAAGCTTTGACACACAGAAGCTTTTACACACAGAGGCTTTTACACACAGACTCCTTTACACACAGACGCTTTTACACACAGACGCTTTTACATGCAGACCCTTTTACACACAGACCCTTTTACACACAGAAGCTTTTAAACACAGAAGCTTTTACACACAGAAACTTTTACACACAGAAGCTTTTACACACAAACACTTTCACACACAGAGACCGGACCCGTGAAATCGCAATTTTACTTCAGTTTTTGACGTTCAACGTCCATTTCGTGCGAAAGGGTTGCGATGGGCCAAGTAAAATCGCAATTTTACCGCAGTTTCTGACGTCGAACCTCCATTTCGCGTGTAAGGGTTGCCCGTGACACCTCAAAATCGCAATTTTACTTCAGTTTTGGACGTCCAACGTCCATTTCGTGCGAAAGGGTTGCGATGGACACCTAAGTTAAATCGCAATTTTACCTCAGTTTTCGTCCATTTCGTGCGAAATGGTTGCGTTTGACTAAGTTAAATCGCAATTTTACCTCAGTTTTTGACGTCCAACGTCCATTTCGTGCGAAAGGATTGCGTTTCGTGGCGCTCCGGCAGCACCGCCCCCGCCTTAAGAGAGAGATAGAAAGAAGAGCGAGAGGAGATGTGCAGATGTGAAGGTGTGAAGATGTAGATCTGCAGATGTGAGGGTGTGAAGATGTAGATCTGCAGGTGTGAGGGTGTGAAGATCTAGATCTGCAGATGTGAGGGTGTGAAGATGTAGATCTGCAGGTGTGAAGGTGTGAAGATGTAGATCAGCAGATGTGAGGGTGTGAAGATCTAGATCTGCAGATGTGAGGGTGTGAAGATGTAGATCTGCAGGTGTGAAGGTGTGAAGATGTAGATCAGCAGATGTGAGGGTCTGAAGATGTATGACAACGGCTGCTTTTTTACGAAAACCCTTCGCAGGCGCTCTCGGGAAAAAGAAGATCAGGAAGCATTTTATGTTTTGTCTGTTAGGCCTGGCTCTGGCTCTTATGGCTGTGCTGGTGTTGTTTTTCGCATGGGGTTGCTACGGCGCAATCAACCCCAAGCTATTTGTTCAGTCATCATTGGTCTCACCATCAAAGTTTATCAGTTGGTCGGGACACGATGGGCTGCTGAAGGTTCAACTGCAAGGGCAAGGTGCGGGGGGTGCGCATCCGTGGTGATCGTCCCTGATTCAAATCAGATTCCAATGCCTTTTTTGGGGTGCTCTGGAGATTAAAGAGTGATAACCCAGAACCAACGGAACACCTGATACATTTGTGTTTAGGAAATGCAGTTCACGAGGGCTTCAGTTAGATGGTTCCATTTTTCCCCACATCTTTGTGTGGGGTTCTTGTTTTTGGTTCTGCATCCCGTCTGCCGCCTTCTCCTCCCGCTCCCGTCGCCTCCTCCCGTCACACACAACTTGTGCTCACACACAACTTGTCCACACACCACTTGCTCACACACAACTTGCTCACACACAACTTGTCCACACACCACTTCTCATCACACCACTTGTCACACCACTACTTGTCCACACACAACTTGTCTTCACACTACTTGTCCACACACAACTTGTCATCACGCCACTTGTCTTCACACTACTTGTCCACACACAACTTTGTCCACACACAACTTGTCATCACACAACTTGTCATCAGACCACTTCTCATCACACCACTTGTCATCACACCACTTGTCTTCACACTACTTGTCCACATACAACTTGTCATCACACAACTTGTCATCAGACCACTTGTCATCACACCACTTGCTCACACACAGCTTGTCATCACACAACTTGTCGTCACTTTGCGTGGCAGGCGTGGCACGTACGGCACTGGGCTGGCTCTGGTGGCGCGCTCGGTTCCCACGTGCCCGAGTGGACGCCGCGGCTTTTTGCGTGGCAGGCCTGGCACTTGGAGACTTTCATCTTCGTTTCACGTGGCAGGCGTGGTACTTGGTGACATCCACCTTCGTTTCACGTGGCAGGCGTGGCACTTGGCGACATGGATCGTCACTTTGCGTGGCAGGCGTGGCACGTATGGCACTGGGCTGGCTCTGGTGGCGCGCTCCGGTTCCCACGTGCCTGAGTGGACGCCGCGGCTTTTTGCGTGGCAGGCGTGGCACTTGGAGACATTCATCTTCGTTTCACGTGGCAGGCGTGGTACTTGGTGACATCCACTATCGTTTCACGTGGCAGGCGTGGCACTTGGCGACATAGATCGTCACTTTGCGTGGCAGGCGTGGCACGTATGGCACTGGGCTGTCTCTGGTGGCGTTCTCACGCACAACTTGCACACAACTTGCACACATACAACTTACTCACGCAGGCGTGGCACTTGGCGACATGGAGCGTCACTTGGCGTGGCAGGCGTGGCACGTATGGCACTGGGCTGGCTCTGGTGGCGTGCTCGGTTCCCACATGCCCGAGTGGACGCCGCGGCTTTTTGCGTGGCAGGCGTGGCACTTGGAGACATTCATCTTCGTTTCACGTGGCAGGCGTGGTATATTCATCTTCGTTTCACGTGGCAGGCGTGGTACTCGACTTACTCACATACAACTTGTTCACACACAACTTACTCACACGCAACTTACTCACGCACAACTTGCACACAACTTGCACACATACAACTTACTCACGCAGGCGTGGCACTTGGCGACATGGAGCGTCACTTTGCGTGGCAGGCGTGGCACGTATGGCACTGGGCTGGCTCTGGTGGCGCGCTCGGTTCCCACGTGCCCGAGTGGTCGCCGCGGCTTTTTGCGTGGCAGGCGTGGCACTTGGAGACATCCATCTTCGTTTCCTGCTTTCCCCATGCTATCTTTACCTTTCTTTTGCTGCTTGTTGGAAGAAGTTGACATGTGGGGTTATCCGGTCCTTTAATTTGCAGCTTTGGTGTGGAAATGGTTACAGAAAAATATCACATCATCTCCCTGCAAAAATCAGCACCGTCCGTGTCAGGTTACATCGTGGTGCAAGTCCTTGCAGAGCCGGCTCCAGCCACATCGCAAGATGCCACCAGCCAGGTGGGGGCCATGCTTCGTTGAAGATGGAAGCCCCATGACATCCAATGACTTTAACCTGTCATAGCTCCAACTGGGTGTGTGATGTATTTATGATGGATCATTGAGATTCATTGAGATTCATTGAGTATCGTAGAAATGTCCGAAGCTGAAGCAGCTCTCCTTGGAAAGTGGGTCTGCTGAGAGTAGTTCCCTTGGGCATTCTGCTGGTGGACTGGCATAACCATGAGTGTCATACCCCTGTGAAAGACAATGATCAAACGTAGAGATGCGCAGAGACATTGGGGAAGGGACTTGTGGGGACTTCGAAGTCATATCCGTTCGACAGAGAAGGAGACATGTCAAGATTTTCCACGCTTATCGGCTGCCTCCGCTGTCAGCCGTCAGGTACCTGAGTGGCCTGCCTCTGAAGGCCCGGGTTTACCACTGTTTACCTCGATTGTTTCGTCGCTTTCCAGATGTTGGTGCAGGCCTTGCACAAGTGATGTTCACCACAAATTCCTCCGACGACCTATGATCCACAAGGTCATCAAAAGTGAAGACTGTTTCAGTCGGTTTGTTTTGAATCAGCGTGAAAAAAGGCCACGGGCTGTTGTACTTGGAGAATATAAGTTCTACCGGCGCAGATGTGCCAGGCATAGAGACTTTGGCCATGGCGGCCATGGACTGCGCCTTAACACCTGTCTGAGAGCTCAGTGTGCAGGGGAAGTTCGATTGAGTGTGCAAGTAATGACTAAGTAATGCAAGTAGCTTCACATTGATGTTGATGTTCGATTAGGACATTGGCCAGCGTCGATGAATCATTGCCTTTGATGGCAGAGGAAGAATATCTATGGAAATCCATGCTGTGTTTTACAGCCATTACAAGTCATTACAAGCCATTCTAGGGTCCAAAATGATTGACCCAAAATTGGCTACCGAAAATGACTTTCGTGACTGTTTAGACAGAACCAGGCTTCCAGTCTTGAAATCACCGTCAGATCCGTCAGCGTCTCATCATGCCTCAGGTCCTCGACGACGCGCGGAGGCACTGAGCCGTCGCGAATCTGTGATGTCACCACCGAAGTGAAGTGATGAATCTGTTTTCCATGTCAGTCGGTGCCGCAAAATCATGCTTGATCCTCGGAGCTTCATGGGGTCCAGATTCTTGACTCCCAAATTGGTTGATTGACAACAAATAAAAATGACACCAAAAATAAAATCCAAGACTGTCAGTTGGTATTTCCATTGAACCATGTGAAATCATGATAACATGTTAACAACCATTTTGATCCATATTAATCCATATTACTCCATCTGTGCTCATTTTCGTTTCAATCATTTGAATTTCGGAAAAACATATAAAATCATATCAATCTAAAATCACCTATGCATATATATATATATGTATAATATAATATATATGTGTTATATGTAAATCCATTTCTCCAGTTTGGACCGTGAAATCCGCCAGGGAAGAGCTCCCTCTGCCCACGCCTTTGGCTTCACCTGGGCTGGCCACGCCCAACACGGTCCGCAGGTGGGCCATGGTTTCAACATGTAACCATGAAAAGTGATGTTAACATAACTTGAGTCCTAAAGTGATTTACCCCCAGTTTACAGTCTAGTTAGAGGCCTTGTTGATTCAAGATCTCGATTTTTGTTTGATTTCTCTTTACACATGTTTCAATTTTCCCCATTTTCCCTAGTTTTCCCACGGATTTTTCCTCAGCCACTTTTTGGACATGTCCAGGTGGCCGGCCTTTGGCCGTTGGCCGGGCTTGGTGGTGACCTGAGACTGACCTGGTATGTTTTGAATCAAAACATGAGCAATACGAATGACGTGGGGGGTAGAGAATTTTTGAAGCTTCAGAAGGTTCTAAGCTAAGTTGATTGCAAAGTCAAGATATGTTTTAGGACTCTCACTTTGAGGAATCCATCGGGTCTGTTGGGGAACCGCGTTACTGTATTTCAGAGGAAAACGAATTCCATCGGACACCCACGCCGAGCGGGAATACCCAGAGGTCATGTCCTGTGTTTTGCAAAAGTGATGTCTTTTGGAGAAGTTAAAAGCCTCCTACCTCACTTTTGCCGTATACGGGTATGAATTGGTATGAATCCTTAAAGCCAATTTGGTGGATCGATCAATTGGAAGTCAAGTGTAACTCGTCATAAAGCTGAGATTCTTGAAAATGTCGCATTCGCATTGCACCATAAATCACCATACTCCTGAATCTTCCAGGCACATGGCATGTGGGGAGAAGCTCCACCCTTGCCCATCACTGGAGGTGCACAGCTGCTAAGACATGCTGATTTTGGTGGCGAAAATTGGGTGACCGCTGTATACCCATAGTGGATCATATGAATCATATGCTCAAAAAAATCAATGCTGCTAATGCGGCCCAATGTTTCAAGTTGTTTTTCTATGCAGTTGAAACCAACGACGGACAGGAAAGTAATTTTTTGAGGCTGTCCAACCTTGCAATATTTACTTTGCGGATATCGTTTGTTAAGGGGTTTAATCACAACCGAGTAATCAAAAAGTGAACTTGCAACGATACTCTGCGGGCGGTCCCTGTGTTTGCATCTGGTATTCTATTGCACAGCTTACCATGTTATGATCATTGCCAAAGTTTGACTAATATGTCATCTCAGGCACGTTTGGCCCACGGCAAGGTAGCGATTTCATCCTGTTCTGACTGCTTAAAAGGGGACATATCGGGTGGAACAGGGAATGTGGTGGGCTGGTGCGATTGGAGCCGAATGTGTCCTTTGCTCAGGGAGAAGTTGCGACTCAACTGTTTCTCGGACTGGATAGGGCAGGGCTCAAGGGCTCAAGTTGTGGGATCCCGGGCAGTCGGGGGGATTGCGTTGCCCCGAGGACAGCACAGCTGATTCTGCACGATCCGGAGAGAAAACTCACCACACAGAGCCACCACAAAGCCCAGTGCCTTCTGCAGGCACCACGGATTTGGACAAGACACATCAAGACACCACGACACGGATCACGACGATTTTGAAATGGGAAAGGGATCTAAAGGGATGGCCCTTCTTGTTTTGATGTCACCAGTGGATGCTCACGCTGGTAGAATCTTGGCTGTTTTCATGCTTGTTTTCAACATTTTTCAACCACGCTCTTGCCGGGCTGCATCCGCTAGGGGCCATGAAAAATTGGAACGTTCTTGTCTGAGAATTCCGTGCGGGTTCTTGACACAATTGTTGATCAGTATTCAATCAGGGGCATCCCGAGTAGATGGAAGATTGACAGATGTGACAACGCTTGGAATTTGTCCACCATTCTGTTTCTTTTCCCCAGCACTCCATGCACCCGTGCGTTCCGTTTTCCAAACCATTTCACCATTTCCATCAATCGATACCCGGTGTGGTTCCTTGGAGGCCAGGAGGCTCCTGAGACACCAATGAAGGCACATTTGGACGGAAAGGGACGGAGAAACAGATTTTCTGGAGACAAAGTCTGTAGAAATCAAAGGTCAAATGTTGGGATCAGACCTACTCGTTGTCTTCAGCGTATTTGAAATATATTTTATATGTGGGCACAAAAGATGCTTCTGCAAGTTTAAGGATGACGTCTTGAGCCCAGGTTGAACTCAGTATCCTCCAACGAATGCACGTCCAAGAAGAAGAGTTAGACGAGGCACAGTTGCAAAATGTGCATGTCTGGCCTACATATTTTGCATGTGATGCAAGGCATGTTGCTTCAACATGCATCAGCATGGTCAGCTAAGAACAGGATGTTTCCTTATGTTTCCAGCGTTCAAGAACTCATTGAATAATATGGTGTACTAGATCCTGTTGATGTTTTCGTGAAATATGTACCTGAGGTATTCTGTTCCGGTGCTGTTGGGAAGCACTCTCTGGCTACGAGAATCCATGTCACAGGGTCCATTGCACTAGTCAATGACACCACCACAAACATTTGCTGTGTCCTGCTTTAGAGTTGTAGGGAGAATCTGAGTAAAAGCATTATCCTTTTCCGAAAAGAAGAAACTCAAGTGGCTGATGCCACGTGCAATGTCAGGAAGAACCTCGAGCAAGAATTCCGTCACTTGACAACGACACGATTTCGTGCCAACAGGGGCGACATCTTGCACCATCTCGGCAAGACCAGTGTATGTGACAGTGGCATAAGAATTATTCTCTGTGGCTGGATTGTCCCACATCGTTTTAACACCATAAGGGTGGCTTCACCATATCCAGGAGGTAGGTGGCAGGTGATGAACAGCGCTATGTGAACAATCAGACGGCTTTTTGTCAGTATATGTCAGCAATGCCACATGTTCGAAAGTGATACTTGCTTCAATTTCTGCAGAATTCAGAATTGTCCCCTCCAAAGTCATCCCGGGCTTTGTCTCATTGACATTTTGGTTCTCAAGGGGTTGAAGGCCTGACCTTCAGCTAAGGTTTTGTCCTGGTGAGCCGTTGGCATTGGAGGAACCAACGGTGAGCCGCTTTCAACCATGGGCCACGTTACGGTTTTCTATAGTCAGCGGTCAGTTAAGCATAGACAGAGAGTTTATAGTTGGTTGGAAGATGTTGGAATACTCCTGTGGTACATTGGTAGACATCAAGCTGGTCACGGAAAGTCACTTGTGGGATCTCCCATGCTTTAACTGACATGACTCTGACATGCTGGTCCATTTTTAAGGCCATATTGCAAAGGCTGCCAGTCCCTCCGATTCCTTGAAGCTGAACGATCGTTGGTTTCCCTTCCAGGAGGCACTTGATCGACTTCCACCAGGCTTGCGAGACGTAAGAGTCCCAGGGGCATTGCCTCCGGTGCCACCGTCATTCTCATCTTTTCCCATAGTGTACCAAATTATGTCCTTCTGGAAAGCATGGTGAAAGCATGGTTCCAACGTGTTTCAATTCACACAGGGAGACTGCAAAGATGTCCAGTGATGGGTTCGGAGGTGAACCACAAGATAAACAACTTCTGACCTGTGACGGTACAGATTGATATTGGATCAGACTCGTTGGAATTTTCGGTGTCATGTGCTGAAATCAAGATTAAAATTCAAGACCTTATTTTTTTAGTCCTGGTCTCCAATCCCCTCCTTTTTTCCATGCACGTTGGCGCCGGAGTTTACGCGTTTCAGTTTTTGATTCGTTTCATTTCGTTTCGTTTCATTTCATCATGATTTTTTTTGGTGACCTTTATTTCAATAATTTTCAGTAGCTGCACCAAGGCCGAACATGTGAAGAATACCTTCATCCATTCAGCTGCAACTCCCCTGGCAGCTTGGCGAGCCCCTGTGGTTTATGAGGGACCTGATGGAGCCAGCTTGAAGATCTGAAATGACTTGAACCTGATTCCAAGTTCCAATTGGTTCCAACAGATTCTGATGTTTGGGTGAAACAAGACTTTTTGATCCGGATGAGTGTAGTTTATTCTTACTCCGAAGCCGCTTGACCGCTGTCACCAGCCTAGGATTTCCTCATTGGCTCCAGAGTGTTGGATCAAATGATTTCACAGGGTTGAAAGAACAGCTTGCTTTTTTCTCTCCAAATCCTGTACAAAATTATCCCGGCAAGAGACCCCAAACAGTGTGGCTTGATGGGAGGACAGTGTATGATAATGTTGATGATGTTGATGATGATGATGATGATGATGGTGTTGCGGACGATAATGTTGAGGATGATGATGTTGGGAATGATGAGGTGGAGGATGATGAAGTTAGGGATGATGATGCGAAGGGGGAGGAAGATGATGATGTTGAGAATGATGATGTTGAGGAGGAGGAGGAGGAGCAGGATGTGGGGGATGATGATGATGATGGTGATGATGATGATGATGATGGTGATGATGATGGTGATGATGGTGATGATGATGGTGATGATGATGATGATGATGATGCTCACGATGATGCTCACGATGATGCTCACGATGATGATCACGATGATGATCACGATGATGATCACGATGATGATCACGATGATGATGATGATGATGATGATGATGATGATCACGATGATGATCACGAAGATGATCACGATGATGATCACGATGATGATGATGATTATTATTATTATTATTCTTATGATGATTATTTTTATGATGATTATTATTTTTATGAGGATGAGGATGAGGGTGAGAACGATCATGATCGGCCCAGAACTAGGACCACACTTTGTGCGAGCCTGCGCAGTCGAAATGCACTGACATTTCACAAGGGCCATTTTTAATGGAAATTTATAGGAAAAATACCGTGCCCCAGAAGCGGGACCCACACTTGTGCGCGGTCGAAATGCACTTCGACATTTCACAAGAGCCACTTTTAACCGAAATTTACAAGAAAATTCCGCACCCCAGAATGAGCCGAGCCCAGAACGCAGACACACACTTTGTGCGAGCCTGCGCAATCGAAATGCACTTCGACATTTCACAAGGGCCACTTGATACGGAAATTTACAGGAAAAATGCCGCGTCCCAGAATGAGCCCAAAACGCAGACACACACTTTGTGCGGGCCAGCGCAGCTGAGACGCATGGCAAGATTTCACAGGAGGCACTTGATATGGAAATTTGCAGGCAAAATGCCGCGGCCCAGAGTGAGCACCCTGATCAAGCACCGAACTTTACACCCATTGTAAGAACCCCTCAGTGCGGACACGGTGTTTGTGGGAAAATCAATGAGGCAAATTTGGCATCAATGAGTTTCTGGTGTTGCAATTTGATTTTTTCTGATGTGAAACCGATTAGGTGAAACTAGCCAGCAAATCGCAACGTGAACTCTCAACATTTTGTTCTAGTTTGTTCTGGGACATCATTCACCAAGATCAAGTTTCTGTTTCTTAGAGATGTTTGCCAACGAAACTCATCAGGTGAAACCTGTCCTACTGTCCTGACAACTGACAGGCCCGTGCCACAGTCATCGCTGCTCCGTTTGCAGCGACCAGGTTACACCAGAACCACCTGGCTATCGGAGGTCGCAATCTGTGCCCAAGGACTTGAGCTGTGTAAAGGGACAAAAATGGACGATGAAGATGTTTGGTTTTGTCTGATTTCAGTATTCAAAGCGGTTCCGATATTTCAAGGATATCAAGCGTTGGATTTGGGTTTCTTAAGAAAATGTTGTAATCAGACACATGGAATAGCAAGGCCAAGTAAATCGTGGTGACCCCCAGCGTCCCGGAGAGGAGATGGGCTATGCTCCGGAGGCTCCATCGGGTTTGGAGCGTCAGCCGGTCAGCTCTGTGGCAACTCTAGCTACACACGTTCTCGAAACATCAAAGTCACAGCAATTGCAGACAGGGTGACGAAAAAAGGCATCCGTGAGTTGCATCTTTGAGCACATTTGGGTTGTGCACCACTGGCACTTTGGAATGCCATGCCGGTTTTTGCGGTAGTATTTCTTGCATGCTCTTGGAAGCACATTGGTTTGAGTTCGGAGATGGGTTTGCGCACATGTTTTCATCAATTATGACTATGACCATATTTCCCCACAACATGTGACACAATGACGCTTCAAACGATGCCCCTATCCGAAGCTCTCGCTTGGAATTTTCACCAGGCGTTTGTTTGCACCTACCAGCAGGGTCGCATTGATTGATTCGTCTTTATCAAGAACACTCAATGCATTTGAGGTGTGGATAACCACAGGTTGTTCCCTGCAATATCTTTGTTCGATCATCGAGTCGAGCCGTCCATTTAAAGCAGTGATAAAAAAAATTGATGGCTTCCACTTGTTAATGCATACTAGGCCAGCTGGAGCTGAAGACGCCATAAAACATGTTTCCTTCAGAACTAGGTTCTGTGTTGTTTCAAATGTTTCGCTTGTCTTCAATCTTCAGTTGCTTTAAATCTCGAATCAGTGGCAAGCACCATCAAGCACCAAAGGCAGGTTCACTGTTCACTTGCTGTGAGGTGGATGATTTGGAGGCCGATGGGCCACATGAATTTTGCAGGGTTTGTTCTTACTAGGTGTCGTTCAAAATCCGTGTTTGGATTTTGTGATTCTGTTGATGGTTCATGTAAGTTCAAGGGCTAGTGTCAGTGTGCGTGTGTGTGTGTGTGTGTGAGCCAACAGCCATGTTCTTGTCAGTTTAGCGTCGAAAGGTTTACCCAGTGTCCCTTTTTGGAAAGGGACAGCATAAAACAAAGCAATACGAACGATGTCCAGGAAAATATTAGATGTTGCGGTTCGCCTCATGCTTCAACAGAAAGGAGTGGTTGCTGTTAGCTACGTGACTCCAATGGCAAAAAATATACGGGCGCGAACATTCGAATTCAAGTGATACTATATCATCCGGAACCGCGTATTGAAGGAGCCCACCATGAAACAATCTAAAGAGTGTAAGTTACGTGTTGAAATTAATTTCGTCCTTCAAAATCGTTCCAAAAGCTCCTGTTCTGTTTTCGTGGTGCTTGCTTTGGGGATTCAGCACATGGCCTCCACAGGCCGCTTTACATTGCTCAAGGTTGGGAAATGCAATATTTTAAATCATGCGTCGTAAACCTCAGATGGCTTGGGAAATTCATGACCATGGCCATTTCCCTCCCTGATCCGCCAGATGTTACGTCTCGAGACTTCCGGCAGTGCGGTTCCATCGCCAGCCTTTTTGCCCGAGAGCACAGCCAACCATCCTTGGCTCTAGCTTCACTAGCTGTGGCTGCCGTATGGGAGTCTGTTAGCATGCCATCAGGGATTCAGTAAACCAGGTCCAGAGCTAGGGCTCTTCTCAGTCTCAGTTTCCAGATATGGTTGCTGATGAAGAAGGCTTTCTCTGTTGGATGTTGTTTTGTTTTGTTTCACAGATGGCCCCTTGGATCATCCCCGGCTGCAGTCGCATGCTGAGGGTACCGCCAACACCGAGCTCACCAATCTTCTCCCGGGGTTATGAGGCACAAGTCATCGCAAGTCGCGAACAAAGGGACTGGGTCTTTGATCTGGTTTCGTGCATTTGCCAAGTTGAGCAGCTGGAGACTAAGTTGTAGTAATTCAAAATGATTCTTTAACCCAGCAGCCGTTGCGCTCCCAACTTGAGCAGCAATCATGCAGCTCAACCCAAATCCCAAATTCTTGGTACTTGCTTATCCTTCAGAGAAAACGCCGACGTCTCAATGGATTTATGTTTGCATCCAAGGCAATTCCGGCAACTCTTGGGAAGATCTAGAACTTAAAAGCAACATGGTTGTGTTTTTTTTGAAGCACCTGTTTGTAATTTGGGACGGGAAAGTTAGCGAAGCTTGGTAAACACACTGGCCCCATCAGACAGGCCATGCTCTTGTTGGCTCCTCAGCAAGTCGACAGCACAGTATGCCATGGTTCGGAGTGCTAGCTCATAGTCAGGCTGCGCTATGAGACTTCTGACCTGGCTTCGCCAAATTTTGACTCAGGCAACAGATGGACTTCCTAGCAGAAAATCGAGCAGCTTGGATTTGAAATCACTACTTCGGCAGACAGACCACCGTATGTTTTTCAAAGTCAAGAGCCGTGTGTATTGACATCATCTATGTCTCTTTTGACGAAATGTCATTGTCTTCGCAAACTTGTCAAGTTGGTGTTGACAGCTTGAAAGTGGTGCAAGCTGGTCCGGTTTGTCTACTGTGATCAACAAACATGACAGGACTACCTTTCCAGCCCTAGCGCAAGTGCAGGTCATTCGTTTGGCTGACCTTATCTGAGCTTCGGCGGCAAGACACCAGTGGAACTTGTTGAAGTGAGGGCCACTGGGGGGCCCTGCATGTTGCTGAATTGTTCATATCCTTGAAGTAGATGAAAGGTGTGGGGCATTTTGGGACCAATAACCTCAAGGTTTGGCAGGTTTTCTGCGCCACACTTCCTGTATTGTGCCAGGTCTGGAACATCGTACAACTATGTACAACTTAATTCTCAGACCCCGCCGCCATTCTCAAAGTTCCTCGGACGGTTCGAGTTCTTGTGACCTGCTTGCAACCCCGCGTGGGCCTCACTTCAAATGAAGCGAAGTTGCGCTCCTATGGCATGGCATCAATGAGCAAAATTAAGTTGAATGAATGAGTAGAGTGTAGCAGTGGCCACCATCCATGAAAGCTCTTTAGTTTCATGAGTTTTCGGGGCTCAGTTTTTTATTGCACATTGGGCCGACCGAGCATCCCGCCTTGTACAGTTGTTCGTTGCTCTTGGCTCTCGTGCAGAGTCCAGGACTGCGAATCTGCGGAACCGGGATGATCGGGATGATCTCCATCGTTTGGTTGGCAATGCAAACATCATGGCATGCTGGAGGTCGCTACAATCCGAATGCCTTTTACCTGTGCTGTCATTTTTCTCAAACCATTTTTGTGCGAAAGTGGAAGACAAGAACAGTGGGTCCTTCTAGAGCCAAAATGTATTGAATTTGTTGCCTCCAACAATAAAAAATTAATGTATTCAAATTCTTGGGTCCAGCTGATGATACCATCCAACCAGACGATCGGACACTGCATTTCCCAATAGTGGAATCCGCAGGTGCTTTGTCTCCAATGTTGTGAACGGAAACGGGCAAGGCATAGGGGCTGGTGGTTACCTGTTGCCCCTATAGGCTTTGACAGCAGTATACCGCAGGTCTGAAGCATTTTGTGGGTTGCCCTCCTTTCTGACGTTGCCCTTCTTTAGCAATAAGGGCAAGAAAAGCGCCTGCCATGAGCATGAACGGTGAAGGGAAACTTAGAAGGTCCAGCAATTCAAGCCAAGCACAGTGGCATGAGTTTTGCTTATTCATCATGTTCATCATCACAATAGAACCGAGGGAATCTGCTTGGTTATTCAATTGCCCGTATAAAAATCCTATGTAGCGCTGCTGGCAGTGATAATAAATTGTTCATTCGTATTCATATTGTTCATATTGCAGTGTCCCAAAATAAGGATCAACTAAAGTTGCCAGAAGGCAGCATCAGCTGAGCATCAGCTTCGCATCAGCTGCACTTACGAGCTCTTCTTTTGCCACGCATTTCCCTACATCGTCAATATCTGACATTCCAGCTTGGCCCATTCGACAGGGCCTTCAGCGCGCAGCTTGAACTCCCATGGCTTATCGCTTTGGCCAACGGTGCTCCCGCGAGCGCCTAGATGTGTTCTCGACTGCCCGGCCGGGAAGGCAGCTCCGGCAGTTTGAGGCGCAAATCAATGAAGCACGGCGGAAAAGAAACCGGCAAAGCCCAGGTTAGTGAAGACAAGCTATTTTTGGGAAATTCCCCCCAGAAGATAAATTTACAACGATAGGGTTTTTAATCTGATGATTTTAGATCAATCATCCTGTGATAAATAGAAGTTACCAGTAGTACCGCACAAGGCGGTGGCGGAAGTTTCAAAAATAGGAAACCTATAGGAGAGGTTGGTTGTTGTGAATTAGGGATGCCAGCCACTGATGGATTGAAAGGTACTTGATCTCTCTCACTCTTTCTCTCTCTTTCTCTGACTATCTACCTACCTACCTATTTATTTTCTATGTATCTATCGATCTATTTATCTATCGATCTATCTATCTCTCTATCTCTCTCTCTCTCTTTCATCTAATTACCTATCTATCTATCTATCTATCTATCTATCTATCTAATCTATCTCTCTCTCTCTCTCCCTCTCTTCTTTCATCTGTCTATCTGTCTAGCCATTTATCTATGTATCTCATCTACCCAGCTGGCCTCTCTCTCTCTCTCTCTTTCATCTAATTACCTATCTATTTATCTACCTACCTGTCTATCTATCTCTCCCTTTCATCTGTCTAGCTGTCTACCTGTCTATCTGTGTTGCTGCAGTGCTATTCAGTGTAATGTAGTGTGGTGTAGTAAAATTTAGTGTAGTGGAGTATACTGGAGTGTAATGTTGTGTACTGGAGTGTAGTATAGTGTAATATCTTGTGATGTAGTGTATTGAAGCGAAGCGATATCTGAACCTCTAAAAGTGGTCCGAACCCCTAGTGTTTTGAACATTTTTATTTCGAAATGTCCTTCGCGCCACAGCGGCGTGTATTTTTCGACATTCGAACTTCCAAAGGTGGCGCGAATATGTGGTGTTTTCTACATTTTGACTTGGAAATGTACTTCGCGCTACAACGGCGTCCACTTTTTCGACATCCGAACTTCCAAAAGTGGCGCGAACATGTGGTGTTTTGTATATTTTGACTTGGAAATGTGCTTCGCGCCACAACGGCGCACACTTTTTCAACATCTTAACTGCCAAAAGTGGTCCGGACCTGGTGTGTTTTATATATTTTGACTTCGAAATGTATTTTGTGCGACATCGCCGTATATTTTTTTTATATCTTAATTTCCAAAAGTGATCCGAACCTGCTGTATTTTCTATATTTTAACTTTAAAATGTGTTTCGCGCCACAACGGCGTGTACGTTTTCATCATTTTATTTTCCAAAAGCGATCCGAACCTGATGTAGTTTATTTTGACTTGTAAATCTGCTTCGCGCTACAACGGCGTGCAATTTTTTATGTCTCATCTGGCCAGCTGGCTCCGCACCCGCCGTTTTTGCGAGCTTACTTTTCGATCCTCCGGAGCCTTAAATTATTGGAAAAACACAGTGTTTCGCGACTTTCCTACCTTATCGGAAATTTGAATTCTAAATTTCTTTCGATAATTTATAAAATAGTTTGTTATTGTTCCGCATAAGACCTTGGGATTTTTCCCGAATGCGTAGCGAATGGTTCTTATTTTCTTGCTGGGGATCTGGGGATGAAAAATTGTTTGCGGCTCTTTTTGCGTTTTTCCTCTTTAATCGCGTCGCCGCTATATCTATGGGAAGCATCACAAAATATAACGCTTTTGAATTTGTGAAAGTATAACCCTCAATGGAGTCATATTGGTGTAGAGATCGACCTTTTTTTACGAAGCTTAAGCCCCAGATGCTCAACATGTCACAATCAGATATGAATTTCATCAACACGGCAAA